GCTGCGCCCGCCGCCAAGGCAAGCCGCGGCCCCTTCCCAGCCCCCTGCCCCTGCGCGTCGCGCCGCCTGCCCTCCCCGCTCGCCTCAGGGAGCCCACTCTGCCCTCCTGCGTCCCCGGCCCGGCCCGCTGCCTCCCCGCCTCCCGCCCTTCCCTCAGCCAACCGCCGCCTTCCCGCTCCCCCGCGCCTTCTCTCCTGTCCCCTCTGTCCCCAGCCCGTCCCCGGGGCCCAGCCCGCAGTTCGCTACTCTTATCTGACGCCCAGGGGCAGAGGGGTAAAGAAAGCGGCTCTCCCTTAGCACTGGACACTTGGGCCCTTCAGGTGGCTGCACTGGCTACACAGCCATTTTCTGGGGGAGGGAAGAATTACTTGCAGTGGGATTTGCGATGGGTGTAGTTGGTGGCGTTGGCAGTGCTGGTTTCCTCCACTCCAAGGGGCTGCACCTTCCTTGGTGTGGGGCTGCTTCCCTTCCCTGGCATGGCCCCCCACGCTACTCCTCGGCTGCCTCACTGCCCACCTGTAGCCTGCGCACTCTTCGATTCTTATTTTTTTAAAAGATGATTAAAAAATGTATTTGTTTGTCAAAGCTGAATCTAGACCCCAGCTTTTGGGCACTGTTGTTACTCTCGGGGAGCTCAAAAACCTCAGTCAGTGTCCCAGACCCTGACTGTGGTGGTGCTGGCGGCCATGTAGCTGCGAGGCCCAGCTGGCGGCCTCTGAGCTGCTGCAAGGTCACCAGGGTTGTTTTCAAGCTAGATGTAAACGTGTACTCTTCTGAGTAAATGTTTACATAAAAGCAAGTTTAATCTGCCTAAATATGGGGAAGGGCCAGGAATCGCTGCTGCTTTTCCTCATGAAAACCTGGAGCTGGAGTTGGATACGGTGGCTCAGCCCATCCCACCACGAGCGAAGATGGGGGTCCCGCGCTGCCTTCTCCGCTGCTCTTCTCGCCCCGTGCTGAGGTGGTGCAGATCATTGCGCTATCAGAAAAATGGCTCCTTTCTTCTTGTCGTTGTCTGCTGGCTTAATGATCTAAATAAACTTCCTGAGTGGACAACTTGGTACATGGAAGAAGAGGAGGGAGACACCATTTTTTCATCAGGAAAGAGTCATTAGATCAGCTCAGCCTTCTTGTCTAGTGGTGCCCTGTGTTGCTTTCTAGATGAGTGAAGATGTTCCAAGCTTACACTGGACTAACAAAAAAAAATATTGGCTGAAATACAGCAATGTGTGTAAGAGGCTGCTTTATGTAATGAAAATACCTTTGAATTTCCAAGAAACACTTCACAACTGTTTTTTTCCCTGACAACTGTGCAGATGTATTAATTAATCATGAGAAGAATATAAAATTCATATTAAGTGTTGATATAGACAAAACAGAGAAATGAAAACCTAAGATCCCATCCATGGAAGATAAAAAAGGGTTTTTTCTCTTATGCACATTTGATTGTGTATATGCAAATGAAAACACAGGAGCTCTCTGGGTGTCTTAGTACTGGATAGGATTGCAGTTACAAATATTTTGATGTTAGTTGTCCTTGCTTTCTTCCCAACATACTTCTTTCCAGACCATGAAAAATTTTCTGGGAATTAGTCGTAAGATCTTTCACCATAAAATTATTTTTACTTTTGTTCTTATCTGCATTTTTGAGAGTGGTATTAGACAAGTCACTTTTGGTAACTGTCACAAGGTAATACAGACGGCTGAGCATGTGCAATGTCATGTTAATTCAGGGCCAGAAATCTATAGCCACTCTTACTTGATGAAGTATTATATGGTATAACTGACTAACAACCTCACATGTATCTGGTTTAACAGTTTGGTTTATAGAAGTATTTCTAAAACGATAGTGTTCATTGAGGGACGCTTACATTCTTGTACTTTTATTTGTAGATGTCGGGGGATCAGCATGTTGATCGCTCTACTCAAGAAAGAGGTGATGAAGATCACGATGATGTAGTTGATGCAAAGCCAGACAGAAGTAGCAGATTCTCACTTTTGGGAAAGTAAGTTACTACTTTTCTTCCTGCTATTGTTGTATCAGCTGTCATACTACCCTTCTAATGGGATTTTGGTGTTCAGTTTGCCATGTCCACAATGTCATAGATGGTCTGGATAGGGAGATCGTTTTTGTTGTATAGGTTTAATGTATCTGGTCTGTACCTTAAAGCATGTCTCTATAGTATCTCCCTATAGAGAGAGCTGTAGTATCTCCCATAAGCTTTATTTGGTAGTCAAGAGACCACTAAGTTCATTTAGCATCAGTTATAGTCCCTCATCTTAAACATTGCCCTTTGGTGGAGCTGGGAATTAAATATGCCATTAATTATCTATTTTACTGCATTCAGCTCAACTAATCTCCTGCATCATTGGAATCCCCTGCTGACTATTTAAGTCAGTTTAAAGCCTGGATGTGCCATCTAGGTTGTAGCACAAAGCAGCCTCACTGAGTCTGGAGATGTAACCGATTACAGAATAAATTAAAAGCCTTTAAAACATAGTAGTCTCACTGAAGCATAAGCTTACTTTCATTAAATGTATAGGAAGCAAGAACTATGTACTGCTTGTCTGTACTCCTGAAAACACTAGATAAATGTGATTGAAAATGCAAAAGATGAAAAATGAACATGCAAAATTTACAAATACAATTGAATGTCAGCAAATGGTTACTTCACATTATGAACTTCATGGATTTAGAGAGATTTTATTAGAGGTGTTTATTACAAAGACTGTTGTATTTACAGAGAGGTTTTGATTTTTTTTACTCTTGGACATTCACATTCAAGTGAACAGTATAATTCAGAGAAAGTACATGGAGAATATATTTTTGCTGCTTATTATATGAGTCTAATGGGGGTAACAAATCTGTGAGAGAAGTAAAGATGCTTTAGTCTTAGAAGACTTTTGATGTGCTGTTAAGCAAATCATTTTCTCTGTCTCATTTTATCATTCCTCAAATATATTTTATGATGTGTATGTGTATTATTAATTTTAACAGAATCATGTCATGCAAAATAGGCAATGTAATATTTGTTTCTATGTCTTGCCAGACATTTTTCAAAGGTTTCTTTTAAACTTTATAAAATATGTGTTTTAATATCTGAATGGGTCTTCTTTATAAGAGGTGATATGCTAATACTATTATTAAATTATGCAACTCAAAGTTAATCATTCCTGAAGGAAAGGCAATAATCAGCATTTCTATCACTTTTTTTCTATAAGAAATTTTTCAAATAATTTGGCAATGCATCAGTTTGAGGCATTCATCTTTTGGGAACTCCTTGAAGATACAATTTGAAACATTTTTCTTTAGAAGTAAAAAATTGCTCAGATTAAATATGAGGTAATTGAGAAGATCCAACTTAGATTTTGTAGAAAAAAAATAAGTCTGAGAAATCTATCAGAGTTTCTTGAAGAAGGTGACGGTTGCCTAAAGAGGAATGAGCTGATTGACAGCAAAGGTCTTAAAAATCCAAGCACAGTGACAAGGTCTTTGTCTTATAGAAACTAAAAGTCTTTGGCCTGAAGGAAGATAGGAGAAGAATGTGAGAGGATAAAGGAAGATGGGATATGATCTAAAATCGTGACTGTAATGGAGGAGAAAGTGAATAGAGAATGATCGTTCCTTGTGCCTCACAGGAAATCTAGGGGACATTCAATGAAAAGTTCATGCAGTAGGTTTAAAACAGCCGGTAAGATGTAATTTTCACATAGTGCAGAATGCAACTGTAGAACTTAAAGTCACAAGATATGCAGATGTCAAGATTTTAGACGAGTTCAGAGAGATTAGATGTATTTGTGGAAGAAAAGTCCAGTGGGAATATTGATATTAAAATCTTCAGTGCAAGATGTTCCTAAATCAGGTTTCTGTGAGAATATATTCTGTATCCGATTTCTTTTGTTTGTTTTCTTAAAACTCATTACTCGTCAGTACCAGATACTAGGCTAGATGTACTTTTAATTGGAACCAGCATGGCTCTGTGTCTTGATTGCCAAGGCTTCATTTTGGCAACATGAAATTAATACCTGTAAAATAAGATGTCTAGAAAACTTTAGATTGACTACAATTTTATGGTCCCTTGTTTTGTTTTAGTAACCCAGTTTTTAGCAGCTGTGCAGTACTTTCAATGAAATTCTACATTGTATTTCATTTATTATTGCTTAAAATATATAAGCTCAATAGGAAAATAAGTAACTTGTATTGTTAAATAAGCACAATAATTTTAATTTAAGAGAACAGAGCAGTGAGAAACTGAATTCAAAGCCGTGCAGAAAGACCAGCTGTTTCCAGTAGATTCACAGCTCCAATTCACCATTCTCTGGTTGTGACTGGAGATTTATCTAGCAAGAGCAGTAAGTAGAAATAAGTGAAAATCTTATTCACTACAGTATATTTCTCTCCAAGAAGTCTGTAAGCCTGCTTTACCATGGAGGCCACAAGGCTCAGAACAAGCCACGGAGTGGGCAGGTTCTTCTGGCTGCACCACAGTTTAGGGGAATTATCTTCAACATATTTCCTTTTCTTTGAAAAAGTGCTAGTACTTAGTTAATGCTGGTGGGGAAAAACTGTTTGGTGGGGAAAAGAGTTGAAAGAAATGTTTTGAATTAACATCTGCCAGTGGCGTTTGGTTTAGGGGGTTTTTTTAGCCACTAGATGGCAGGAGGGTATCAATTTTGTTTACTGCAAAAATGTGGACAAAAATTAGGGAGAGTTGCAGTTGAGCAAAAAGTTGTTTCAGAAAGCAGAAATAGCAGGATACACTCTGGCAAGCCTGCATGCAATAAAATTCTAAAACATGGTTAAACAAAGATTGAGCTGAGGATTTCAAACGTGTATTTTAATTCTTTATATGATAGTTAGAAACTAATAGAATTTTTCCCATAGAAATTTTTCTTTTCTATGCTGTATGTGCTCCTGTTACACTTTCGAGGCTTTAAAAATAGTCTCACTTCTCCGCTGGATGATTTAATATCTTCATTTGGTATCTTTGGTCTTTTATTGGGGAGCTCTGTTAGGGAGATTGGTAGCAGCAAACCCATTTTAGCATCCAGGAAACATAATGTAACATGAAATGGAATAAAATTGTGGTTCCACTGTATTAAGTAGAGCTAAGATTTCTCTTACTGCTAATGAAAGTTGGGTTTTTTTGAAAAGCTGCATCTGAAAATTCCCAAGGCTTGGTAGACTCGCACTTGCGCTGTCAATAATCATGATTGTTTGTGGGCTTCAGTGAAGAAGCATAATGCAGAAGAGAGTGGTTGTTAGCAGTATCTAGGTACTGGTTTTATTCTGATTTAATTGTATAGAACCATTTGTCCTCTGGTTACTTTTATCTACTCCAGCCCTACTGTCTTGTTTTACAGTCAATATTCCCCTTCTCATCTGGAAACAGAAAACATAATTTAAACATATATTTAAGAATTCTCACAAATACCTAGTTACAATTGAAACTGTGTGATTCTGTAGTGCTCTTAATGTGGAAACATGAAATACATTGTAAGAAAATCCCACTGAGTAATTTGAGAGGCTTATAGGGTACTCTGGCATATAGTCACCAAGAGTACTTCAGCTGTTTAACACTGCAAACCCAAAATATCTGTAAGGTATTTATTTCTGCCAAGTCAGTTCACTATGAAGTTTGAGACTTTTCATTTTAATTAATTTGAAAGTTTGCTTGAAACATCAGTGTGTATCTTGCCTTCTGTAGTTCAATAGTTATGATAGTTACATAGTTATAATGTCTACCAGGTTAGTAAACTAGTATTTAGATCAAAAAGATTCACGGATATATAGGTTTTCTTTTCATTTGTACGGTGTTTACTTGGGTTACAGGGCATCAAAGTGGGGAAACACAGATGTTACCAAAACTGTCTATTTTAACTTCATGACCCTTGTCTCAGTATAGCCGTATTTCTCAAAATAAATAGCCTTGTCCTTCAAAAAATAAATATTCAGTTTTGAGATTCAGCCTCAGCTGAACCTGAGCTTTGGAGCTGTAACAGGTGTGGAAAGTTGCCTTTGTTTCAGCTTTGCTCTTCTGTTGCTTTTCTGTCTTTTGGGGAGCTATTTTCCATCCACTTTTGATTACCAACAGCTTATTTTTATTTGGTTTTTAGAACTTTATGAAGAACAGTTTCACAGTGATGCAGATGCATATGTTTTCCAGAGTTGCCCATTTTGTATTTTTTGGGCCATTTGAAAACACTGGGCCCGATCTTATAAATTAGTTGCTTGCTTTGTAGAAAAAGTTCTACTGCTAGCACCGTATGCTTATGAAGAAACTGTATTGGCCTCCACTGCATGAATGTCAGCTGTTCCTGCCTTGAAATTAATGTGTTCAAATCCAGATGATGCCTTGAATGATACCTCATCTTTTTTATCATAACTTTTACAGTTTTAAAATTAAAAATGCAGTTCTGTTACAGGTTTTTCAGTGACAGAATATTACAGACCTTTCAAAAATAAATATTGCTAAGAAAAGTATCTCTTTTATCCTTAGATAGAATAAAAATAGCAAGTTACTTTAAAACAACAGCTGATGAATCATCATCTGAAGTTATGCTCTGGGTTGCAACTCAGAGGTCTGAACTGAACTCTTGGTTCAGCCTCACATTTCCTTTATGTCTAAGCAAATCACTGTGTGCCTTAGCGTATCCTGTAAATGGGTGATGACCTTTCCTTTTACTATCCTAACTCCAAAGTCTAGCACAATATAATTTTAATTTAGTTCGGAGTTTGTGGGTTCTGCTTTGCACAAGCTAAATATCAGTGTATTTTCCCCCAAAGTGCTGAACATAAAATTTCAGAAGCAATAGGTTCTGGCATCTATAGTCTGTTAAAGTTAATTTCTACAAAGAAAGTAAAGAGATTTTAATATAGAGCAACAGGGATGTTTCATTTTCATTACTCTCTTTTAAGCCAGAGGTTGTTTTTTTATTTTTTGTTACTGCAGTTTTTGTTAGATCTGGAACTCAACTTCTGGAGAACACTACAGGAGTATTTAACAATTAGTGAAAATTGTGGTCGGTGCTTGTACTTTCCCTTGGACGCTTACTGGATGTACCATATAAGAAATGCCCAAGTATCTTGAAATAGTATCTAGGCTAAAGTGTAAGAACTCATTAATTCACAGTGAATATTTGTTTCCAGTATCCTTAGAGACTTTATCTTGTGAAGCACAGCAAATACTGGGTTATCCATGAACTGTATCTGTACCAGTCACAACAGTGAGTCAAGTATCCTAATTCCTTTTTAGTGTAGTAATTTATTTCCTTCATTACAACAAACTCTGGGCTGTCATCATACAAAACTTGGAGGAAAGTTATTACACAGTAAATATTTGTTTCCAGTATCCTTAGAGACTTTATCTTGTGAAGCACAGCAAATACTGGGTTATCCATGAACTGTATCTGTACCAGTCACAACAGTGAGTCAAGTATCCTAATTCCTTTTTAGTGTAGTAATTTATTTCCTTCATTACAACAAACTCTGGGCTGTCATCATACAAAACTTGGAGGAAAGTTATTATGTAGTGTCATTTTTAAGCTTTCAAAGGAATCAAAACCAAATTAAGCCAAATTTATAATAAACCAAAACTGTTTAGGGGTAAATACATAGGAAATAGTTCTATGAATTAGAATACAAAGAGGTTTTGTAAACTGTGCCTGTTAATTTGCATTATTTTCTTAGAAATATTCATTGTGTAAATATTGTCATAATGGTGGATCAGGTTTTGAGAGAAGGAAGAAAGACGTATTACAAAGTGAAGTCTGCTGTCCCACTTCCATCTCAAGATCTGCTGTATTTT